GGGGGGGGTTGAAATGATATGAAAGGTATTATTGGATTCTTAGGTTAAGACTTTCCTATGTAGTACGGGGTAGAGGCTAGGTCAGGCTCACTGATATCATTACGTTTGGTAAGACGATGGTAGTTCCATTTAATGCTCCCCCTTTGAATCGAGTCGTTTTTTGGAGCAACATTCTCTGGCACGTCTCGGCATGCAACATTTACTGGAATGTCGGAAATGTTAGCATTCTGTGAAGGCTAAACGTCAGTAAATGTCGACTTGCTGCTCAAAGGGCTTAATTTCATCCGATATCACCGATTTTTTGAAAGCAGTTCCAATGCTGAGAGAATACGAGCCTATTTTTGAGAGCCTTTCAGATTTGCATACGTATATTTGGGTGCTTCTGCTTTGTCGGTTCAACTGCTCGAAGAGGAATTGAAAATTCCTGATTTGATTTGCTAAAGATTGAGTTAGCGCAATGGTGTCTTGGTAGCGTAATGAAAAGCGCAATGGCCGAAAAACATGCGTGCAGACTGGAGTCCCTTTTGGAGCTCCTAGTTTTGATGCGTTCCCTTTGAAATTGGTGGTTTGATGGGAGAAGGAATAAACTTTCCTTTGCGATTCGCTCTTTTGTTGCGATTCTCATGTTTTTTTGTCCGAAGTGTAATTTCTTGGCTGCCACGAGGCGAAGGTGGTCTACCGGAAGATGTATGCTGCTAGACAAGTTGTTTGGCATGGTTCATACTTCAAAAATTCTCTTTATACTTTATTGGCTAATATTATTGGCGGAATGTTTCACGACTTGTAGTTGAACTTTTTTTGCACCAGAGTACTCCGAAATGATTCTGTAGGGATTGATTTCAGAATATTCTCTTAGTGTACACTCTAATTATGACTGGTTCAGGTGGCATTTTCTCAGTTTCAGTGATTTGGTGTGTTGACTGCAATACAAAATAAATAGGGCCCTACATAACAACTGGAAAAATAGCAATGCAGTGGCTCCGAGGGGGTCTTGGTCTATGAACAACTTTCCAGGTCAACGATATCGTCACGTAAAGTACCATAAGGGTGATGGCGTTTCCACTGTTGAGAAACCTCTATTGTTTTTTTCAACAAACCTTTCCCTACGTACCGTACCGACTCCTTTTCCACCCTCTTATAATTCTTAGTCATTTTGTAGGATGAGTTTTCTTTGTTTACTAAGTTTTTGTATTTAGATGTTGGAACAACAACCGAATAGTGGTCCAGATTGGGTGCACGTAGCTGTAATCGATGAAGTTCATAGAACGGGTTTGGTTCCATGCTCTATTCTACTGCCAGGTGATCGTTAATCGTTTTTCCAGTTCTTGTTTTGTATTTTTCGTTGTCGCCGAAAAGTTTTCTTCGATATGAACGCGTTCGATGAATGACACGATGACTGAAGACGGTAAAAAACTGGAAACTGGTTTTGAAATATGGAGTTGGTGAGAATTTCTCAATGATTCGGTCAACCTGCTAGCGAGCCCAAATGGCGAGGTCTTTTAGAGAGAAATCTGCAACACATGAACGTAAATGTCGACTCCGCCTCTTTCACCACTCACTTTCGTGTGAAGCGAGGGCGTGTTGTCGTTGGTTATGTGTGACACTGTTCGTTTGAAGTCGTATTTTAACCATTTTTTATTCATTATTGTCTTCTTTCGGAGATAGAAGTCTAGTAGGTCGATCCTGATAGATGAAAATTTGCGGCCGTCCTGATGCATTACTTGGATTACTTTCAGCTATTTTTTCTTTGAAACTTTCTTTCAGAATGATTACCTGAAGGCACGTATCTATTTCTCATTGAAATCTCCTGTTGGATAGGTAGTAACGGTTTCTCTTTCTGAATCTGGCTCTCTGTAAAGTGCTCTAAGCAGAACCGAATGAACGATATTAGGTTCGAGGAGTTGGATGGGCTTGAGGATAGGATGGTGGTGTTTACTTAGACTCCTACTCTCTCCACTGCCTACAATCCGATCGTTAGGACTGTTTTTCAAATAGTAGGGAGAGGATTGAGCCAATGAAGGAGAAAGGGTGGGATTCACTGTGAAATTTAATGAGAAAGGTTCTACTGAGAACGACGTATAGTGCAGAGTATACAGTATGCCGATGTGCTGCAATTTTGCAGTTATTTGTGATTAGTCGAGAAGCATTGTAGACCTTTTTGTCTGAATTGATTACTTGTTCTAAGTTTATCGTTGAAAAAGACTTAGACTTGTTCACATACAAAACCGATTCGGAACAGGCAGAATCCCAAGAAACCATATTTATTGGTTTCTCGCAACTGGCTCTGGAAAAGCCATTATTGAGAAAGAGGATGGAAAACATGTGTGAGCGATTGCTCTTTTGCACATGAACGGCCATCTGGTGATTTCATCAAAAGAACGGCAGGGGAATTCGTTGTTATACAGCTGCGAGAATGTGCTACATTTATGGACCATAGACGAACTACAGTAAGTTGTCATGTGGGTGTAAAGTGCGTCCCTGTGCCCATGAACATGCCTTGAACATTCGCTCATAGCAGTTGATCAGTGATTACTCTTCTCGGTCTACATGGTTTGGTGCATTTCACTGTCTATCGTTCTAACATCCTGTGGATTGATACCCCTGACTCTTACCCATATAAAAATGTAAAAATCTTAGCCAAATTGCTTTCTGATGAAGAGCCTTTCCGAAGCATAAAATTTTGGAAGGCTGCAGTGCTGACCGATCTTCGCGATCTTGTATTAGAAGCTTTTGGAAGTGTCCCCTTGCAACCAGTCCCTACTTTCAAGAAGTAGATGTATGGCGAATAATCTGAAGGGTGATTAAATTAACCATTCTACCTACTCAAGCATTATTTGGGACTTATACACATTCAGTTGCCGACCCACTCCTGAATGAACGAAAACTCTGTAGGCTTTTTCCTGTTGAATAGCTTTGTTAACGCATGCATCACTCAGTGTGATTACGTTTAACACGATATCACTACCATTTCATCGTAATTTCCGTCCTCATAACTTTAGTAATTGGGTGTGAGTGGGAAATGTCTCTATGTCAGCTCGGGTAATGCCTTTAGTGACTTTATCATTGTCTTACAGTCAACACATGCGTTTTTGTTTGTGAAGTTCTTGTTTATCATAGACGTGGGTTCGAATCCCTTTGGAATCGAACAATTATCTCATAACACTTCTAGTAGCTCCATTTTGGTGAGAGTTGCTTGAAATATCGATTAATATCATCAGTGAAATCGAAGTATTCAAAGAAGTTACTTTTTCATAGTAGTTCACTCATAAGGTTTGTTGGTGCCATTAGCATGTTTACTAGTCACTAGGATTAACAGCATCAACGAGTATGTTATCGAGATTACGGTGGCTTTCCGATCATATTATATGTAAGTGTAAGTATTTAGAATTGTGCGCTAAACTTTTTTCATCAACGATGCTTCGCCGGAGCCAAATCGCATTCAGCTCCGTATGCTTGGACGCTAAAAACATGGGCTGTCATGATGTTAACTGCGCTAATTTGAGAGAAGTGGGCGTCGGTTGCCCATGGGATAGGCAAAGATGTGCAAATCTCAGTCAGCAATATGTGTTCCTTTTTTCCGTTCTCTTTCACATTTTCTGAGAGATGAATTTGGATGTTTCGCCGATGTACGCCGCGAGTAGTATGCTTGGTGACCTTTCTTTACTTTGGTAACCGCTCAGGCTTTTGCCTTTTTTATGACGAGTTGGTTTTGCAATTCGTATGCTTTTGAACCAGAATTGGTCGAGTAAATAAACGGAAATCTGAAACTGCAGCCTGGTTGAGCTATGTATCTGGGACCAGGAGCCTTTCCAGGAATTTCCAAAAAGTTTTGAACCCCTCTAGGCATTCATATGGTCTTTACCTCAGTTGAGCTTAGTATTAAATGTGAATTGTTAATTACGAGCAGATGTTATGAGCTAATAAGATCTCGTAGAAGTATGATCATGCCGCTGAGTGGCTGCTTGAAGTCAGGGTCCCCCTTTCAAAGTGCAGTTCCGGAATGAGGGGGTTCAAATCAATATCTATGCATGTACCAGGTGCCGGATGCTGGCCATGCACTGGTAACATTTCAGTTCATATCTCGTGCTAGCCATCTAATCGATCAATTAGTGAGTTTTAATTTGTTGTCGACTCTGGGGAAGTAGATGATGGTGATGTAAGGTGCACTTGAATATGATACATTAGGGCCTGGCAGATGTTCTGCACGTTTTTGACTGGATTTTTCATTGAGGCCTTATCCTTTTCAACGCGGTTATAGTCTGATGAGTACCGAAGTTGGTTCATCGGCTGAAGACGCAGCTTGGTCCGTTCTTAAGATCAAGTCCAAGCTGCATATCTATTAGCTCTTCCGGGTCCGTTAGTCGGCGAAGACTGAACAAGTGTAGAATTGGGTTAAGATCGGTTGATTTGACTCATTGTTTGGCCGGGGTAGGTCTCTATGTTTTGATATTCCAGATCTTGTGTCAGGTGCATGGCGCAACTGCAGTGTTAAGCACTTTTCTTTTTCTGTCCCATTGAGAAATTCATTTGAGAAAAGCAACAAGGGTGCCCTCTCATTGAGCTGACAAACGGCAACCCTTTTTCTTCCCGAGAGGTTTTTCATTTCTCAACCTTTTTTTGAATTCAGTGGAGTTTGAAGGTAGAGATGAAGTGGATGGTCAAACCTCCTAGTTTTTGCTAGAAATACAATTGCGTTCCCCGGTTAGGAGATCTCTGGGGAGAACTATGATCAGCCAGTAGGATGAAATTGTATTTGGTCGCAGAGAAAGTACATAGCTATATTTTTCTAACCGATTTGATCAGTATTTGTTCCGCGATATGTACATAAGTGGGTGTTTTAAGGGGCAGAAAGCTTTTTTTCAACCACTTTCGACTTTACTTACTAGTTTTTGTAGAGCGCGAGTGAAAGCTTCACTGGTTCCGTATAGAGGAGCTGGTTTTTATAATCGTAATAAGTCGAACTTTGGCCGGGCCCTCTTTGAGCTCCTTTAGAGGTAAGCGGAGGTGAAAGAATGTGAGAAAGCTTTGAATAGTTGAATGTGAGAGCGGATGCGGTGATTCTTAAGCCAAACTTTTTCGGCAGGCTAGGCTGTCGTGAAACTCATTTTTGTTGATATTCGGTACCCGGACCTTATAGCCAATCCATCTGGTGTCTTCAAGATCCACTCATTAGCAGTCGCGGATGTTGATCGGCTAAGTTCGCATAGTTATTGTTTCTTCGTGGTAGCGATGGCCACTGCAATGATTATCGAGGCTTACAGTAGTAGGAAAAGCTATTTCCTTCTCGTGAACGACGTCAGCGATTTCTTTAAAGTCTTGCTTCCGAAAAATACTTTTCGAAGGGATCCTTCATTAAAAAGATGTGCGAATAGATTTACTCAGGTGTTTGCCTTAAGCACATCTGTTTTACTCGTAACGTGAAGTTGAATTATCTCGTACATCGGTTGGTATCGTTTTGAAATACGCTACATATCAAGCTGTCATTCAAAATAGTCATGGCATCTGAATTTTGTTTGGCCTACGTAATGAATTGAACGTATCGCCCGATGCTCACGAATGTTTTCATCAACATCATCATCTGCTCCATCCAAGCATTAATCAGGCTCCGTCCTAGGTCCGCTGTTCTTTTCACGAATCGTTTTTTTCTATCTGAGCCATTTTCAGCGATGGCTTGGGTTTCAGTATAGTCCGGTGTTCCCATCCTCCACGTTGCATTTCAACCTTGGGAAAGGAGAGGCTCGCTTCTCCCTGGCGTATTCCTTATGTGATCTGAAAATATCTGGTATATGGGTTTTGGAAAGAGTTACGTAATCTTTTGTATCCTTGGTTACTCAAAAAATAGTTTCGTGTTTTGTTTCGATCAGGTGATATTTGAATTTGTTCCGTTCAATAGGAACACACCTGGTCCTTTGCTCCGCTGACGATCGTTTCAAAGCGGATCAACTGGCGTTCTCATTGTCGGCGAAAGTTCCCATCACTGCTCCCAAATGTTAGCATATATTCACTATGCGAATCGATAGTCACGTAGTGCATCTGAAGGATTCTAATGTAAATTGTTCACGGTTGGATGGTAGCGACTTAGCTACCTCCTTCGGGAACTTCCGGCTTAAGCAGACTACTCATGAAGTAAACCTTTTGGGGGCCCTATCTAAGTGGTACGCTTTTCGTCGTTCCTCGTGATAGATTCCATATTGTTTGAAATAATCCGAAAATCGTAGGGAAAGCGGAAATGGCGTGTTTTTCTTCTGGAAAAATCACGTTTTGTATGATGACTTATTGTTTGGTTTGCGACGACGTTATCCGTAGCGTGACCCTGTGACTCATGGTGGTTTCACCGATCTTTTTCGCCATTTCCACCATTTGTCGTTAGTTCATCTTCACCATATGGATTCTAACTACTGAACTTGATTATACGATTGTTATGTGTGTTCCTCTCTCTCTATTCTGCTGTCCGAATGATACAGCGGGTAAAAACCGTTTGAAAGTAATTGCTTGCTTCAATCGCACCAGCGGTGATGTCCTTCGATTTTTTCTGGGTTCAGCATGACTTTGTTTCGTTTCTCACGATCTGTAAGCGGCAATTCACTCCCCGAAAGAGTACAGGGCCTCTGAGCTCCATTCGATATCTTCCTCAAAGTTCCGGTGTGTGAATTCGTGGCATTTCTGTCCGTGATTGGTTTAATTTACGATTCAGTTTGATAGATGAAGCCGGTGAATA